CAAATTCTGTTATTTTCAGTTGTGAATTATTAGAACATTATATAGAATGGATATTGAGGAGTTTCAGGCCCAATTGCAGCCCATGGAGGTCCAATCCAAAATCCAAGTTTTCACATTTGAAGCTTGGTGGTTTTCATGAAAACAGAGCCAAAATCCTTGTAACTTGGCTCACTCTAGTTGCCTAAGATACAAGGAACACGAATGGCTGAGATTGAAGCCTTGGAAATGAATCAATGGTGAATTTTGCTTTTGTTACTTTAAAGTGAAGTAACCTTGAATTTGCTCATGTAAATGACCTCAAACTTGGTTTATGACTTTGCCATTGTTCTTATAACATTCTTTGGACTCAAAAAATGCACCAATATGCCATGAATTGATTTAATTTGAATTGGATCCAAACTAGGCCTTTTCAAGCTTCCTTTCATGAAATTTTCTTCACACATTCTCCAATCCAAGCCAAAGAAATGATATCTTGATGTTTTGTTGAGAAAAGTACCTCATTTTGAGAAACTTTCAAGTTGGAAAGATCTTCATTTGAATTATGCAAGGTGGTGAAATTGACCTATAATGAAAATGGCCTATAATCAAAGTTTCCCAAAATACCCTTGCCTTGCAAGCTTTATATCACGAGTTCTACAAATCCAAATGAGGACTTCTAGTACTCTTTAGAAAGCTAAGATGATGAGGAACAACTTTCATGTTTGGGTCAAGGTGAGGAGAGACATCCTTCTAGGTCAAAAATGTCTAGGAAGTTGGTTGACTTTCAAGGACCAAAATCACATTCATATGATGACCTGTAACTTGTCTACTTTATAACTTGAGTTCTAGAAATCAGATGAATTACTTCTAGTACTCAAAAGAAATTTAATAACATTCTCTACAAATCTCATGTTGGTGTTAAGATGAGATGAAACTTGTATCTTGAGTTATGTGGTCTTGAAGTTAGGCACCAAGATAGGGGATTTTACACTGTCAAGCTTAGAAATCCTAGCTCAGTAACTTCTCACACTCTGGAATATTGATGAATTGATCTTGAAATGATATATTACATGTTTCAACATAACATTCCATGATCATAGTTGCTTGGAATTGAGTCTTAATCTCCTCAAGACTCACAGTTGACCAGGTGAAAACCCTAATTGCACCAATCTTGATTGTGGCCTCTTGTACTTTGCATAATGGCTTGCCCAAGCTCTAAAATGATCCTCAAGGTATCCCATGATCTCTTTCAATGCTTTACCACCCATAACCATGGATTCAATATCACTTGATGACCTTCATAGACCCCCTAGGATAGGAGGTACACCATTATTAGCCAACCACTCCTTCAATGAGCTTTGACATTATTATGAGGGTAATGAGAACTGGATAGCTTGAATACAACCCCTTGATTAGGCTTAGACCTTGATATCTTTCTCTTGATAGGCATAACTCTCCCAGTCCTCTGCAAATGGGCTATGATATACAAATGCTAATGATAATGCTAATGCTATGAATGCAATGAAACAAAAGTTAGGTAAAGAAAAAGGTTGGGCAAATTTTGGGGTGCAACAGAATCCTAAAGGCGAGATAGTAAAGCATAAGGCTCGACTTGTGGCAAAAGGATTTTTGCAATATGAAGGCATAGACTATGAAGAAGTATTTGCACCGGTAGCTCGAATAGAGACCATCCGACTTGTTGTTGCTATTGCGAATAGTAACAATTAGCCGCTTTATCAAATGGACGTGAAATCCTACTTCTTGAATGGTCCTCTTGAAAAAGAAGTGTATGTGGGGCAGCCACCCAGTTTTATTATGAAGAATCAAGAGGATAGGGTCTACAAGTTGAGAAAAACACTCTATGGTTTGAAACAAGCTCCAAGAGCTTGGAACAAACGCATAGATGGGTTCTTACTACATGTTGGCTTCAAGAAGTGTGCATCCGAACATGGTGTCTATGTGAAGAGGGATGCAAGCAAAGATGCAATTATTCTTTTCCAATATGTGGATGATTTGTTGATTACGGGCATCAATGAAGCAAAGATCTCAAAGTTCAAAGGAGAGCTTATGGAAAAATTTGAGATGTGTGACCTTGGTGTGATGCAATACTTCCTTGGCATAGAGTTCCATAGATCAAAAGTGGGGCTGCTTATGCATCAAAGGAACTATGCACTTGAGATACTAAAAATGTGTGAAATGGAGCATTGTAATGCAGCAATTACACCAATGGAAGCAAGGTTGAAGCTGTCCAAGAGTGAGGATGGACAAGATGTGGATCCAACTCAATATAGGAGGTTGATTGGATCACTAAGGTACTTGTGCAATACCCGGCTAGATTTGGCGTTTAATGTCAGAATTGCAAGTAGGTTCATGGAGAGGCTAAGGTATCACACTTGGCAGCAATCAAGAGGATCCTAAGATACATCAAAGGAACTCTTGGTTGTGGAATACTTTTTCCCGCAACGGATAATGGCGGTAAAAGTGAATTACTTGGTTATACCGATTCTAGTTGGTGCGGAGATAAGGATGATAAGAAGTCAACGGACGACTATCTCTTTATGTTCGGTGGAGCACCAATCTCTTGGTGTTCTAAAAAGGAATCGGTGTTCTAAAAAGTGAAATACTTGGTGTTCTGCGTCATTGTGTGCGTGCCAAGTGGTGTGGCTTATGAACCTATTGAGAGAATTGGACAACAGCTTTGAAAGTGTTGTCACATTGATGGTTGATAACATTTCGACCATCAATCTAGCCAAGAATCCCATTGCACATGGGAGAAATAAACATATCGAAATGCGCTTTCACTACCTAAGGGATCTGGTGTGTGTCGGGCAGTTGAGGTTAGCCTACTGCAGAAGTGAAGAACAAATTGCGAATTTGTTGACAAAAGCGGTTTCAAATGATGTGTTCAAGCGGCTATTGAGGAGTTTAAACATGAGAAATGTGGAGCATTTATCTTAAGGTGGTGTGTTGATGTTTGAGTAAGATAAATGCAAGGGAATAAAGCTCAGGAGCTGGTTTGAAGAAATATCTTAAATGGATAAGCTGGTTGAAGGCTGTAGTTTTGACAGTTGTATCAGTTAGTTAGTTTGTTTTTGCTTGTTACATGTTTAGCACTATATAAGGGAATGTATTGTAGTGTGTAACAACTAATATACCATTGTGAATAAAGTTTCTCAATTCTCCTCAATTCTCTCTCTCTCTCTCTCTCTCTCTCTCTCTCTCTCTCTCTCTCTCTCTCTCTCTCTCTCTCTCTCTCTCTCTCTCTCTCTCTCTTTCTCTCTCTCTCTCTCTCTCTCTCTCTCTCTCTCTCTCTCTCTCTCTCTCTCTCTCTCTCTCTCTCTCTCTCTCTCTCTCTCTCTCTCTCTCTCTCTCTCTCTCTCTCTCTCTCTCTCTCTCTCTCTCTCTCTCTCTCTCTCTCTCTCTCTCTTTCTCTCAATTTCATCTTCATCTTCCCCATTTTCCCTTTCCACCATTTTTATCCACCCTCCATTGTTTTGTGTTCTAACAAGAATGATTGGACAATTCCCAATTTTGTTCTGCGGTAACCTTTACTTGGTTTCACCAAAGTCTTCACTGGAGTATAGAGAAACTATTCTTTCTTGCTGGATAACACAACCAATGTCCATGCCTAAGAAACAATTCTTCCATATGATACATGCAACAAAAACATTAGATTCCCTAATGTGCCTTTAATATACCTCTCACACTCAATCTTTATGTTGGAAATCCATAACAATGGTTTTTTTTTAATAAAAGGTTGAAGTTAATGACTAGTATCTGAAGAACCTAACAAACACACACGCGCGCGCGCACACACACACACACATAACCAATTCATATTCTAGGATGTAAATCACAAGGTATAAACAAGGATATAGGTGTTGGTGAATGAAAAACACACACTTGGGTTACCTCAAGGTTCTTGAAAAAAATGGAATTTTGGTTTTTGGTGAGTATCCTGAGATTGATCAATTCAATTTATGATTGATCAACACTCCTCTCATGATTTTTGTTTTTTAACAAATACATACAAACTAGTGTGACAAAAAAAGGTTATTACATGGTTACAAAATCTCTCTATGTTATGTGATAGACAAAAATGAAGAGATATGGTATGGTGCTAGAGGGTAGGCACAAAAAAGAAAATAAGAGGCAACACGATTTTTAGTTAAATCTTGAGGTTATGATTTGAATCAAAGAAACAATGACTTGAATCAAAGGTTGGAAAGTAAGAGATTTGATGCCATGATTCGAGCCAAAGTTCAACACCATGATTTTAATCACCCACTTCTTATGATTCGAGTCAAAGAGTATTGTGATTTGAATCACACAACACATATGATTCGAATCAAACTTCACAACAACATTGATTTATGTGTTCTAACTCGTAATTCAAGCTACACTCAATACATTGGCCCATATAATTTATTAAATGAAGATCTCAAAGGTACAATACTAAACATTGTCGAAACAAACAAATACATATAAATTAAAATAAATTATAAACACGTGATAAATCAAATAACATATACACACAAATTAATGAATCATGGATATAAAAACAATCCGAAGAAATGGTAATTAAGGCAATAGGGTGGCATTGTATTATCTTAGGTAGAAAGTTGGTTTTAGTGATTTGACATCACTAAAAGAGTTACATCACATTATAGTATAAAGCTCTCACTAGCATTTTTGGTAATCTTAAAATATGTTTAGTCATGAGTTATACACATGGCAACAATAATTTGTCCTTAATTAAAGTTTTGGGATACACTAATTATTGAGATTCACTCTATCTTCTCTTGAAGGAAAACATCACATTCCACGCGGTTTGTGGGGTTAGAAAAAAAAGGACCACAACCAAACACGCGTAACTTCTTTTTCACTATGAACATAAAAACATTAGCAGCAGACAAAGTTTTGTATATACTTATGTTCTAAAATCTAGTTCCTTGCTCACTTCCTCGTCCTCTTATCCCTTATCTCATATCTCTCTTTGTAGTATTACGTTTGACTATAACATGGTTCTTGCTACACTTTTGCTAGCGGTTCTGTTCGTTGCAGGTGTCATAAATATATTCTTTTACATACCCACCGACAAAATCTGTACTTTCCTTCAAATATTATTTCCCAACAACAACAAAAACATTAACAATGGTTGCAAAACGACCAAGATGGAGAGTGATGCTAATTACGGGAAGGAAGAAGAAGAACTCGAAAAGGTGTTTTCAACTTTTGACAAGAACGGTGATGGATTCATAACAAAGGAAGAGTTAAGGGAATCACTAAAGATTTTCATGAACAAGAAAGAGGTTGATGATATTCTTGTGAAATTTGATTCAAATAGAGATGGGTTGATTGATTTTGATGAGTTTTGTTTGTTGACTAGAGAGTGCATGGGAGGGGGTGAGGAGAAAGAGAAAGAGGGTGTGAATAGTAATGAAAAAAAGTTGGAAGAATTAGAGGGTAATTTGAAGGAGGCTTTTGATGTGTTTGATAAAGATAATGATGGGTTAATTTCAGAGGAGGAGTTAGCTTTGGTTCTTAATATGTTAGGATTAAGGGAAGGAAAGAAGATTGAAGAGTGTAAAGAGATGATTAGGAAAGTTGATATGGATGGAGATGGTATGGTTAATTTTAATGAGTTCAAGATAATGATGAAGAAAGGAGGAGCGAAACTTGTATTTGATGCATAATTTATTCTAATTTCATCTTAGTGTCTTTGATAACAACATTTGTGACACTCATGATATCAATCATGTATTATATTAAGATATATTAAGATATCTAGTTACATTCAATTATTACTTTAATTTTATTTTAAAGTATTAGTGATGTATAATCTTAATTTTGTGTTTAGTGTGCATGAATCCATTTGTACATTATACATGTATATTGAAGAACATGAGAAAATAGTGCTTTGATCATTAGTATTTGACAAGTCTTTTGCAACATTCTTGAGTGGGTAGTGTTGCTTGTGTATTTATCAAGTTCTTCAAAGTGCGCCTAGAAAAGAAAAAGTGCATATAATGGATTAATGTATACTCCAAAAGAGTTATGCTTGCTTCTTATATGGTCCACTAATATGCTTTGTTTTTATTCTTTTGTTTTGTACATGCAGAATAAAAGGTTGTTAATTTATTCGACCCTGTTGATAGTATTTGTCTGCTTATTAAACAATTTTTAAAAAGATTTTTACACTAATATAACCTTAAAATTATATATCTATGACACCTTGATGCATGAGTGTGGTTTAAAATGGATCATTTGATAACCCATATTTTAATAATATTTATGTTGTCTTCCTAAAAATTGATGTAAAAAATTCATAAAAAATATTAGGTAGAATAAATTAAACAATATGAAACTTATTTAAAAATTTGACAGTTTATATGAAAAATTTAATTAACCGAAGTTTTTAAAATATCCGGAATTTTGAAATGTTCTAATTTTTTAAAACATCTGAAAGTTACTGTATCACTACTATAAAATATATATACAACAATATCATGGTTATCAAGGTATCACGACAGACCGTGATGATATCTTTTACTTAACGCACAAATATTTTCATTTATTTACTTATTAAAATTTTGATATAATATTGTGATGAGATACAACTGTGGTTATATAATCACCCTTTCATGGGTTTGAATCCGAGCACTCTCAAATGTTTTATTTCTTTAACATTTAGTCGCATCTTTGTATTTTTATTTTTTTTATTTCAAAATAAATTTGATACCACCACGGTAGAGTAACTCAACTGTTATGACTTGTTTTAAATATTTTTATTTGTAATGTACTGACGCTTCAAATATTTTATTTCTTTAACATTTAGTCGCACCTTTTATTTTTATTTATTTTTAATTTTTAAATAAATGTGATATCATCACGATTGCGTAGCTGAACCGTTGTGACATTTTTCATTTTGTTTTAAATATTTTAAATTGTAATATACTGGCGCTTCTTTATGAAATTTAATTAAGAAAGTAATATATCATCACGGTTCCGGTTGTTGACCGTGGTGGTATCACTCATTCATTTTTATCACAACTAACTAGCTTGTCTCTTCAGTAGTCATTCTTTGATGAAAAACGATACGATATGAAACACCATTTCAGTACTAACATTGAGTACTGAGAAACGAAACACCATATCAACCCTAACATTCATCGTTCATCATCATCGTTCATCGTTTTTTCATCAATTGTTCAATGATTCATCTTTTTTCTTTGGTTCATCGTTTTCCATTCGTTGTTCATTTTCAACCCGTAGTAATTTGTTCATTTTCACCCCTAACACCAACGTCAACACTAACATCATCATCATCGTCAAGGAGAAATACAACAACAACACTATTTGTTTCAACTCAAATATTCACCTTTACTTAGTCATCACGTTTACGGTACATAAAACATTTTTCCCATGCATCTACAGTAAACTTCAGTTTCCATTATTGATGATGTTGTTGTTCTTATTGTTTTTCTGGTTATTGTTGAATGTGTGTGATAAAACTTGATTAATCTTTTGTTGTGGTTGTGGTTGTAGTAGTAGTAGTTGTTGTTGTTAAATGTGTATTTGATAATAGATGAAAGAGTTTGTTGTTGTTGTTGTTGTTGTTGTTGTTGTTGTTGTTGTTGTTTTTGAAAATAGATGTCGTCTTCGTTGTATTTTTCATCTAGTGGCGAGGAAACTATGACAAGTGATACTCAAAACAAAAAGAAAAGATCACAAAGACGTGCCACAATGATTACCAGAGTAACAAAAGTCCATAAATCTGGTAATAAATTGACTTTCGCGTTTGATTCGTATTATAGAGTATTTGATGGTGAATACTCTTTGCTTTTTAAGAGTTATGTTGCGTTCCTTGGACGTAGCAAAGTTAGCATATTGATAGATGATTGGAAACAAGTGCAAGAGGCTATCAAAGATAACATATGGACAGACGTTAAGGTATTAATATTAATTTTCATCATTTCGATATGAATTTCTATAATTTCTAATACATTCTTATTTATTTAAATGTAGTTGACTTTTGAGTTTACGGATGGTGATAAGCACTTAAAAAAATGGGTAAGTCATGTTGGCATGTGCTGGAGGGGCTTTAAGTCACGACTCACACGTGACTACATTAGGAAGCCTAAGATTAGTCTTGAGCGTCCATGAATGAGATATAGTTTTCTCTCGAAGAAGGTTTGGAAAAAGTTTGGGAAGGGTCGTCGTTCTGAGACATTCTTGGTTAGTACTAGTCTTACTTATCTTAATAATTTTATGTTAATGATATATAGATACTAATCATATGTCACTACGCCAGAATTGACTTTTAGCAGCGCATACAAAGACAACGCTTTTTGAAAAAGCGCTGCTAAAGAGTCATTAAAAAAAAAAGAAAAAAAATAGCACACCTTAGACAACGCTTTTTGAAAAGCGCTGCTAAACGTATGCCCTAAGAAAGCGCTTTTTTAAAGCGCTGCTGTAGGGGATCCCTAAGAAAGCGCTTTTTTAAAACGCTGCTGTAGGGGCCCCTAAGAAAGCGCTTTTTTAAAGCGATGCTGTAGGTGTAACATACGAGAGCGCTTTATCTATAAGTGATGCTATATGGGGTATATAAGAAAGCACTTTTAAAAAGCGCTGCTATATGTCATGCCTAAGGCACACCTTAGAGAGCGCTTTTTAAAAGCGCTGCTACATGCCATTAGAAAGCGCTGCTATAGGCATAATTATAATAAATTTAAAATACCCACCAGAATTTTTAAAAGAAACAGAACGACTGTACGTGTATTTCTTTCATTCTTTCTCCTCTGGCGAACGTTGCCCTCCTTCGTTAACCTAAACCACGACCGTCGCCCTCCTCTGTCCGACAGCCGCCAACCGTCGCCCTCCTCCGTCATTCCGTCTGCAGAACTACAAGGTAATCTCATTATTTTGTTTTGTAATGGTTGTCTTTGTCATTCCTCTGCAACTGATATGAATATGAGAAAAAAATTGTTCTCTTTTCTCTCTCACTTAAATGCATTCTAAGTGTTTGATAAAATACCTCTTAAAGATTTTTTTTGTTCAATATTATGATAAAGTGTTTGATATTTTGTTCAATACTATTACTCTCCATTTTCAGTTTTGTATTATGTTGTTAATTAGTTTTGATATCATGCTAAAATGTCATTTTGAAAATTGGTGTTGTAGTGTTGGTGTAAGAAAGACTCTGTTTTAGTATATAGATGGTGAAATTCTGTCACTTGCTTTATTGCAGACTTGCTTTTTCTCTTGCCAACATAGAAAGCCTTTGAAAATGCACATAGTACATTAGAAAATGCATGAAGATTTCTTCATATTTAAGCTTGTAATCAGTTATATAGGATGAGATTGAAGAAAAGTGCTAGGTTCTATTGTTTCTGTGCTGTATTAGAAAATTATTGTTGTAGAATTACATCTATGCTCCCATTTTCAAAGGAGAGATGATATTTTGACACATAAAACGACATTGTAGGTCGGACACCGAATACAAACACGCTCCAACATAGAAAAATTATACCAAGTAAAAATATACCACCCACTGTCACACCCTAATTTTTGACCTTAAGATCTCATCTCCTTGTTTTTTAGTGCTCTCTAATATTTATACTTTTTTTGCATTTTATTACGACTGACCGTTTGGTGTAGGCATAAACTGCAATAAATGAAGAGTACTCATTTCTCACAGCCAAGCATCTCAAGGCATAACCAATGAATCCTAACTAGATATGTCTCAGAAGAATCTTTGCCTACGTCTCTTTAAGGTCTAGGGAGGTTCTTGGTTTCTAAATATATCAGGAGTACATCAAGAGCAGGGTACCATGGCGTTTGATTATTGAGGATATTTGAAATTCAGTGCAAGAAACAAATTATGATACAAAGGACGAAGTCGTGGTCAAGGTGCACACATTTACTTTCAATATAAGTTACCAAGATTTTGGAAGTTAAATAGCTAGAAGTTTGGATCCATAATGCAGAGGATGTGGATTCCTATGGTTCTTTCAATTACCTGTTACTCGTAAAATGAATTATATGTGTTTAAGATACTCGAAATTGTATTTTCATCGAGTTGAGTACGAATTGAAGATGTGTTCAAACAATGTCATTAAATTCAATTTGGGCAATAAGCAAGGTCCTAATTGTGCGAAGATGGAAGGACCAGAGGTCAAATTCATTTGCTTTGTTTCTTCAACACTTTGATTCAAATGCCAAGTCATGCAAGTGTGGTAGTGTGCTACGGTCGAAAGTTGTTACAATAATAGATCCAGAATAAATCATTCAAATACAAAACTATACGGAATTGGGTTTTTTAGAAAGGCATAAATTCATGGCTTATACTGAACCCTCCAAACATCAAACAGTGACTACTGTCATCTAACGTAACATGTTTTAGTGTGGGAAGGAAAATCCTGACAAGCATTCAGGTTTTATTCAACCTAGAATTACAATTGAAGAAACACAAGGTCAAAGTTTTTCCTTCAAACCCAAGTACGAGTCAATTCATGTTATAGACAAGGTTATTACAACACTGACTAATAGAATTCAATTAAACCAAGAACCGCATTGGTTCGTCATGCCACCGTTTCAGGTATACATCCTGCAATTATAAACTTCACCAGTTGAGAAAACTTGAGAGGTATAAGCTTGTAAACTAAGGAATTCAACTCCAAACTTCCGCCGACGC